TTTTTTTTTTTTCTTTTTTGTAGAACCAAAGACAAGAAAGTATTTTCTTGTCATATTCCTTTAGTTTTCTTGCTGAAATCAAGTTCCAAAAGATACGTCAAGACATTTAGTTGCTGTAGTGTAGCTACAAAAAATCCCTGAATTGAATATGTGCATGTTGTGAGTGGTCTTAATTCTTTTTCTACTTGATATGAAGCTATACTATGTTAATTTTACTAGCAGAAAGAGCCCTTTTTACAGGATCCACATAACACTCAGGAAATAAAGCCTAGCACTCTGGTTTCTCACAATTCACAAAGTGAACAACAAAACAATGAGATTCCTTTACCAGAATCTGGTTCATTTTCATCATCAAGCAACGAAAACAGAAAAGTTTCACGTGAAGACATTGAACTGGTAAGGCACTTGTTTCTTTACTTATTTTAGTATCTTCTTTGGATTATATAGTGAATTAACCTGCAAAACTGTAATTTGATTTATCATCGTAATCTGCTGTAGGTCCAGAATTTGATAGAACGATGTCTGCAATTGTATATGAATAAAGATGAGGTGGTAAAGACCCTATTGACTCGCACTAGGATAAATTCTGGGTTTACAACATTGGGTAGGTTTTATCAAGAAATCGAAAGAAGTCTTCAACATCATTGCCATTTGAGTATTATCACTAGTAGCTGACGAGCTCATTATAATCCAATTACAATGCTAAAACTTATGTGTTTTCCGTGCTTTCTGATCTCTGTCCTCTCTTAATACAGTGTGGCAGAAATTAGAAGAAGAAAATCCCGAGTTTTTCAGGGCTTACTACATTAGGCTTAAATTGAGAAAACAAATTATCCTGTTCAATCACTTGCTAGAGCATCAGTATCATCTAATGAAATATCCAATGCCTCCGAAGGTTTTGGGTCCAATGCACAATGGAAATCATCCCGTGCTAGGTAAAGTTTTCTGTCATTTATTTGAAGGGTACAATTAATTCTATTATTTAGAGCCTATTTGGCTTAACTAAAAATCGGATTTTTAGTAGATTTTGATAAAAGTTGATGAAATGTGTGATTCAAAAGTTGATAAAAGTTGTGGGTTCCATGAAATGTATGGGTAAAAATGAGTTTGAGGAAAAACTAGTTTTAAAAATGGAGGCCAAACAGAACTTAGTTTGAGATTTTGTAATTAAGCCCCTATCTATTGAGGTCATAAAGGTGCCCACATCAAAAGTCTTTCCATTTGATAGTTATATCCTAACTGAAGTTTGTATAAATTTCTCATGTTGACATATGTCACCTTGTATGCTTATGTTTCATAATTGTTGTTCTTTAATAATCTACATGGATTTTATGGTTGTGCGGTTTCCATTGAGAGAGTTGAATTGGTTGCATGTGTAAGGTCTTTTCTCTACTTAATTCTTTTCTTATTATTGTTTGTGAAACTTTGACACCAGGATGGAAAACAGTGTAAGTGATTTGATGTCAAGGTCATGGCTGAACCCTTGACATAGAACCAACTACTTATTCTTTTTTGGTTATCGTAGTGATATAGAAATGCCATTCTTGTCCTGTTTCTCCCTCCCTCTGCTAATTGAAGAAAAAATTATAGAGGACTGAGGTCAATGAAGGTCTAAGATTCATATAACTTTTTATGCATATTGAACTCAACGATTTATACCATATATCATCACTATTCAATGCCACTTGTTCTCAGTGCAGTTAATAACTTACATATGGGATACCCCGTCATACAACAGCCTCCAGTTCCTGCTACAGGGCAAGCTCATCTTTGTTCTGTGGGATATTCGACATCTAGCTTGCATGTTGTTAATGGAGTTCCTGCTACAGGCAATTTCCATCCAATGCAGATAAATTCTGGAAATGAGTGAGAAATGTTTCCATTTTGGCATTGATTTACCTATGTTTTTCCACTTGATATCTAAAATCGATAGCTATGCTTGTTTCTTTGTCCGTCTATTTCCCTAAACCTCTTCTATTATTATTATTACCATAAGATTGTGTTTGCCTATAGAAAGACGTAATACTGATGCATAGTTTATAGCATTGCTTGACGGATGCTAAATCATTTGCACACTGACTCTTCTTAAGTTTTTAACTTTTGTTATTTATCTTCTCTTGGCAGGATGTTGATCGACTCCAACGCAGTTGATCTGTCTCCCGCCATACCGCCTAACAATGCCCTGTCATCCATGTCAGATATGCTTGTGAGTCCCACATCAGCAGAATCCAGTGGCCATTTCCCATTCAGTGGATCAGAGATATCAGGCATGGGAATCGAAACGTCAGGCCTTACCAAAGTATTTACCTCTGATGTGGCAACTTCAGTAGGACTGCAGCTATCGTCAGAAAATGGTGATGGAAATTCTAGAGACTCCCTTGGATCCTTGGCTCAGATAAATTGGGATTTTAGTTTTACGGACCTAGCAGCAGATTTATTGAACTTAGGAGGTATCTTTTCAAATAAAATCTGATCTAGGTCATTTGCCATTTTTATGCATATTGCTAAGATCATGACTTTGTTCAACTTTGTCGCACGTGCAAAAAGTAATAGGCATTGTAGAAGTTGGTAGCAAACTAAATATTTTTATTGAAAAACTGTTGGGAAATACCTGGTGAGTTCTGCTCTACAAATGGTATTATCACACTTGTAAAATGGAGACACCAAATAGAAATGGTCTGTGGTTAATCACTTTAGATTTCCATTCCTTGTCCCCCTTTCGATGCTGATGCCAAGTTTATTGAGAATAAAACTTCTCTCTCCTTTAGATGTAATTGATGATTCCTGTTGCTTCAAAAATGTTTTCAGATCCAGGAGCTCTTGGAAACTACGATGACTCACCATTTTTGCCTTCTGATTCAGATATTTTACTCGGTTCTCCAGAGGCAAATGATATAGGTAAGAAGTAAACAACTCTTTCCTTGCATTTTTGATTGAAATGGATGAAGTTTGAGAACATAAAAACGCTTGAAATTTGAATGAATTTCTTGGTATGCTATGTGCTTCACTGAAATTCTTATCATGTGAAGCATTTTTTTGTGTAAAAAATGCCGTTCTCATTACTCGTGTGATCTTATGAAGCCAATTTTCGCTCAAGAACAATTATTGCTCCCATTAATATCTGTTCATTCATGAGAGGAGGCTTGCTGCCAGAAACGAACACTAGGGACATTTAAGCCTTAACTTTCGTAATTGTGTTTTTAAAGACATTAAAAATGTAGCCAGATGGATCCATAATATGTAGGCCAGTTTAGTTGTCCTTTTTCCGCTGTCCAGTTCCCTGCTGAAAATTGGAAATTCATTTGAAACCAGCTAAGCATTAATATCTTTAATTTTTGAAGAACTCAATGATGATATAATCCAATATGTGAAGATGGAGACTATAAAAGTTCATTTAAGGGTCGATGAAACCTTTGACATGTGCCTTAAATAAATATATGGAAAATCAATATCTAGAAACAGGTGATATAGCTAATCACTACGCCACTCACTTCAACAAAAACCTAGTCTACAGCTGTAAAAATACTCGTGCAATATACGTAACGTATAACTTCTTGATGTTTGCCTGAACATGTTACTGTCGCTCATACTTGGTGCTGGACGTTGTTTCAGTTGAGGACTTCTTTGTTGATTCTGTTCCTGGCCCATCATGCCTACCGTCTGATGAGGAGAAGTCCTAGTATAATCACAAACTCGTTCTTATTCTCAATAAATTTGGGATCAGCTACATGAATCATTTTCTGTCATATTATTCCACTAGGAGATCTTTAGCAATTTAATTCTTAGCAAATACTACAAGCCAAGCAAAGTGGACAAATCCTTCTACGCCATTCCGTTTTGTTCGTTACTAGATCTACATGGAGATTTAAAATAACTAAATCCTTAGCAACTACCACGGACCAATTAAAGAGATGTCCAAGCATGAGGTGAAATAGTATCTTGAACTTGGGCAGTTTAGACTGAGGTTCTATCAAAGGTGAAGCATTAATTATCCAAAGCTTATGGGTTGACAAATTTAAGTATCGCAACTTTCGGTTATCTAGCTGGCTCTTTTTTGGAAGAAGAGATATATTAGTTCTGTGTATGTAAACCTATATAGACAATGGAAATTGAATGTG